CCACATCACAGCTCTGTGTGGTGTTTCTGTCTCCATTCAGGATCACAGGCTTGTGCAGTATGTTTTTCCAAATTCAGCCTCATGAGGCATATGTTGCCTAAAATGTAAGTCACCTTAATTTGGTTTTGAAATGGAAGTCTGTCAATGTGCATGCTTGCAAATGGATCCATGGGCAGGACTTTTCTGAGGCAAGTTCCAAACAAAAAATTTTTGAAATCCATAGTACCAAACCCAATGTTCAAGACATTACCTAGAACCCAGAAAAGAAAAAAAAAAAAAAAAAGAAAGAATGACACCATTGCCTGGTGAAAAAGACTGGCTATTAAGGAGATTTTATGGTAGAAATGTATCCCAGGGTGTTTATAAAAATACTGAGAATTTTCAAGGCTTCTCAGTAGACATGCCTTTTTTAAATGAGAAATATAAATTTGTCCAAAATTTCATATCTTGAAAGAGTAGTTTTAAATACAAATAATGAAACAGGAAACAGGATGCTTTCAGTTATTAAATTTTATCAAGACTAGAAATAAGATGTTTAGAACAGACATCAGAAAAGGGAGTTCACCAAGAGTGAAATGAAGTCATTGAAAGATCTCCCACTGACCAGAAGGGGATGGTATGAGAGAAAAGATCTTCTTGACATTCTTGAATACACCAAGTATGAGAATAAGAATGGGAAATGCATAATTCTGTGATAATTCTTAATTTTCAGAGGGATATCCTTTTCTGTGCAAATTTAAATCATTGCAGACAATCTGCATTTACCAGTTCAGAAAGAGTTGTTCAAGATAGTTTTTGTTTTCTTTTGGACCGGTGAGAACATTATTCACAATGTTAACGATGAATGCTGTCTCAGCATTATCTCCTCTACCCTTAAAAACTTAGGCACTCTTTGAATTTGTCACCAGTTTTATATCCTAATACTTTTGTATGTGAAGTGCAGTTGTGGTCTGATGGCAAATCTATCCTTCAGTACCCATTTTTCTTCCCTATCAGGACTCCTTGGCAGGGGTGTGAAGAAGCTCCAAACCTTCCTCTTAAAGTTTTACATTCTTCAACCAAACTTCCTATAAAACCTTAATATAAGAGACACATCCAGCCTAACACACAAAGGGTTTTACTGCTCCTCAGATGATTTCAGTCTTCACATAACAACAAATGTCTCATAATTGCTCAACTGGGTGACTGACGGAAGGAAGGACATGAAACGATATGCTTTGTATATCAATTTTTATTTTATGGCATTGTGATTGCTTTGTAGAAATTGTGGCAATAAATGTGATTAAGTAGTTTTCCGTAATGAACTATTTTTTGGTCAATTTTCTTGGAATTCAAATATTTCCTGTATTTGTTGCACTATGAAATTCAATATGTGTGGCTGTTTAATTTATTAATAAAATAGCAAAAAATTGAGACTACAACTGTTTATAGAATTAGTTCTTATCTCTGCTTGTGAGACTTTAGATGTTTCATGGGATTATTTTACAGATATAAAACATATTTTCTGTAAAGATTTCAGGAGCTTTTTCAACTTTGAAGTAGCTTAATGGAAGTGCAGAAAAACAGCTTAGAGAAAGCTGAAGTACAGGAGTAGGTGTTGAAAGGAGACAAGAAGTTATTTGAAGGCTTGAAAAATGTCTTGCAGTGAAAAACTTAAATTAGAATTGGCTAGAAATGCTTTGATGCAATGTTTTTCAGCTGATAGTATCTATTCTTCAAATTGAAGCTCTGCTGGAAGGGATCAATTTTCATATTTCTGGTTTTGAAATGTTTCCAGCAGTTTCAAAGTTGTTAAAACATCCTCCTTCAACGTTTTCCAAATGGAAAAAAAACTCCACAATTTTCAGTTCTAAAAGTCTTCCTCTCAAAATATAACCTAATTATGCCAACCATCCCTAAACCGAGCTGGCAATATTGCAAATCACCCAAAATTTAATTTCTTTTTTTTGTTTTCTTCTCTTTTTTTTTCCTCATTTTTATTTATTCCTGGCAGACCATTAGCATTTTCAAGAGTTCTACTGTTTGTCACACTTGGAGAACAGAAAAAAAAAAATTTGGGCAGGTTGCCTGACAATTGGTCTGGTTCAATCTGTCAGAGAAGGTTCTTCAGCGAGGCCTACCTCTGCATGAATACATTAAATTCACTATTGACTGTGCATTGTGTTTGTCTGGCCAGGTTTGGGGTTTGTCTGGCAGGAGGGGGAGTTTCTGTGAGAAGCTTTTGGAAGCTTCCCCCATGTGCAGCAGAGCCCAGGCCAGCTGGCTCCAGGATGGTCTAGGCTGAGCCCCCAACACAGGGGTTGAAGGAAAACATCTTTAAGAAGGGAGAAAAAAAATCTGATGTGCATCAGCAGCTGGAAGAGGGGAGTCAGAATTTGTGAGGAACAGCTCTGCAGGCACAAGGGTCTGGGAAGAAGGAGGGGAGGAGGAGCTCCAGGTGTGAGATTGAGGTGCCTCCCACTGCAGGTCATCACCACTGCAGCCTGTGGGGCATCCCAGTCCCAAAGCAGGTGAATTCTCAAAGGAGGCGTGACCCTGTGAGGAGCCTACCCTATAGAAGGCTCCTGGCAGCATCTCTGGACTTATGGAAAGAGAGAGGATCCCTCCCTGGTGAAGGTTTGCTGGCAAGACTCCTGACCCCGCAGTGGGCTCCCAAAGGTCTGCTCCCAGCAGAAGGGACACCCTGGAGCAGTGTGTAGAATGGATTCCCACTGGAGTTTGTGCAGGACTGGCTCCTGTGCCAGGGACCACACAGTGCAGGAGAGCAGCAGGGCAAGAGCGTGAAGAGTCCTGCAGAGGATGGAGCAGCAGAGACATTGAGTGATGAACTAATGCAGCCTCATTGCCCATCTCCCTGTGCTGCTGGAGGGGAGAGGCAGAGAAGGGAGGAGTGAAGCTGAGCCCCAGAAGAAGGGAGGAGTGCAGAAAAGTCTTTTATGATTTGGTTTTATTAGTCATCATTGATTTGATGGGTAATAAATTTATTTTCCCAAGTCTGTTTTGCCCATGACAGTAATTGCTGAGTGATCTCTCCCTGTCCTTATTTTGACCCACAAGTTTTTTGTTATATCTTTTTTTCCCCTGTCCATCTGAGGAGGGGGCTGACAAAGCAGCTTTGATGGGCCTCTGGCATCTGTCAGTCAACCCACTACAGACCATTCCCTGGAACTGAGCCTTTCTCCTTGCTATTAGTGTCTGTTGTCTGCTGAAACAGAAGGGCATATCCAAACCACACATTAAGAATGATCATTTTCCTATTCTGATTCCTGATCCATGTCTAGGAATTGTCTAGGAGGGTGTGATCTCCAGATTACATTTTCTATACATTTTTGCTTTTCTCGCATATTTTCATGAGGAGTGGTCTGTAAGTTCAGTGTTTGTTACTAGCAGATGCATCTGGATATTATATATTAATAAAGAAAACATTCCCAAATCTCCACCTTTCTGTCTTCATCATTCTGCTTCATCTTTCTGTCTTCAGTTATCATAAGCACTGGTGGGGTCCATCGTGTTTCATGGAGCTAATCCATACCTTCTTGCCCATGTGAAAATCTATAAAAATATGCTCAAGCTCTCTTTGCACTTTTCCAGTGATTCAGTTTAGTAGCCTGTAGCCTGGAGTTATGGATACCAAGTATTAGCTGTTAAACTGTCAAAACTTGTTGTAACAAACAGCAGCAGCCATTACTTGAGGAGTATTTAAGCAGGGCTTAATGAATAATTTTAAGGCATATAAAAGGCTGTTTTGAAAAGGAAAGGGATTTTTTTGGTTATAACATTAAAAGATATTGGAAAAGAAAATGGAAGCATGTCACATAGAATAAAACTCCTAATTAGGGCTCAACTGGCAGTCCTGGTGATCCACCATCTCCTAAAATACATGTGTGTCCACAGAATTTTGTTGGCATGAAATCTGTCTTTCTATCTTTGGCCAGGCTGTTGGATAATCTAAGCAGTTTTGGCAGCAAAAATCAAATACAGGGCAGCAGGAGTAGCTCAGTGCACAGCATATCTCTGTACAGCTCAGGGCATTTCACTGTTCTCTGAAGCCAGCTGCATTTTCACAGCAGAATTTAAGATACTGATATATCTGTGTTATCTTGGTCTGACATAGCCTTAGTCCAGAGCTGATGATTTAACCACAGAAATCTCTTATTTATGACAGACTTTATCTTAAATGTTGGGGTTTAAATGTTTCTGAAGCAGTTGGCACACAGAGTCAGAAGTTTGGCAAATCTCAAAAAAAAATTTGTGCATCAGCCTAGAAGTTTAGATCTAATCTGTCTTCATGTGTACTGATAGAAAATGTTGACTGTGGCTTAAGTTTTTCATAAGCGTCTTCTTGATGTTCTAAATGTATGTTCTAGAGATATAAGCATCAACAACCTCTGGTTGAAATTAAAGTTGTTGATGTTTTCAGCATCTGTGTCCTCCACCTGAAGCCAGTAAGCAAAGGGATGTGTACTTTACCCCTAAGGAGAAGGCTGTCTATATAGGCACTTGTTTTCAAAATTGGAAATATAGATTTGGGAACAGAATTCTCATGTGTTTGCTTTAAATCTCAGTGAGGATATTTGTTGTTTGATTATAATAACTTTTCTTTAGCAAAGTAGGTCAACATTTCTTTCACCTACTGATCTCGAAGTCCTTTAGCCAACAGTGGCTGGGAGGTTTTGGGATGGTTTCCTTACTTCCTGAGAAGGAAAATTCCTGAGAAGGATGTCTGAGTATGTGGTGAGTGGTACACATACTGGCCCTTGTCCTGAACAATTAAAGGAGTGCTTGTGAAGCAGATATTAGAAAATAATAATATATTAAAGGTACAGGCTTAAATGTCAGAAATTAAAAAAAAGAAAAAACTCACAATTTTAAATAGGACTTTAAAGCTCTACACAAACATAATAACAAAAATGCTTCTATCTCCTTCCCTGTGTCATTTTAAATTTTTTTTCTCTGCATGTTTGTCTGTCACGATGATTTTCGTTTCCAATTCCTTGCAGATGTCTCAGTCAGTCTCTTAGCAGTCGTCGTCAGCTTCTGCGGGCTCGCCTTGCTGGTGGTCTCGCTTTTTGTCTTTTGGAAGCTGTGCTGGCCCTGCTGGAGGAGCAAACCTCTCACCTCCAGTGCCAGTAATGTCCCGCAGAGCAACTCCAGCGCTCCCACGGAGGTCTTGGAGAACAGCGAGAAAAAGGAAGTCAAAGAAAATGGGAAAGCTACCACCAAGGTGCTTGAAGCTGCGCTGAAAATCAGCCACACTTCACCTGATATTCCAGCAGAGGTCCAGAACGCACTGAAGGAGCACCTGATCAGACATGCTCGGATGCAGAGGCAGATCACGGAGCCCACATCCTCATCAAGGTAAGCCAGAGGCACTCGCACTCGTGGCACCTTTCCCAGGAACAAGTAGAGCAGGAACACTGCTGGAAATTTCCAGCATCCAGGATTATTCACAGGTTTCTTAGAAGTTATGGGTAAAACATCGCTCCTGTGAATGTGAAGCCACATTGGACAGAATATTCTGAAACGTTTAGTGTACCTTCAGTTACATAATAATTTTAACATATCAAAGTGAAATCTACATCTTCCACTACTTTGTAAAGACAGATGTTGCCACTTTAAGCATTTCCCTTTTGGGTTTTGATTATAAGAAAACATATTTCAGTGGTTTGTTTTTTTTTTTTTTTAAGAACTGCAAGTCTAGATTTTCACAGAGATGTTTTTTATAGATATATCAGTTGTTTTTGCATATGAAAGTTTCCCTTTCAACCAGATAAATGACAGACTCATTGTTGATGGCACATTTCCTGAAGACATGGTTTGCTGATTACTAAGGAATTAAAATTACAGTCTAAAAATACAGATCCTTATAGACTGATCTTAAAGCTGTACAGATTCCCTATAGGTCTATAAATAAATGACATGCACACAGTATTCCTTAGTGGTTTCTTTAGTATTAAAGTGGAGGACACAAAATTTAATTTTGCATTAGGTGCCACTTTATACTTAAAAGCAGTGAAGACATGCAGGGATCTACAGATTCAAATGGGATTTTCTTCAAACACTGTCAGTAAATTTAATGCATGGAAACAAACAATGAACTGTGATAATCAAATTCTAAATAAAAAGGGGATTGTTTCATAAGCAAAGATTGGGAAAATTAAGGCTAAAAGAGGCACCTGAAGTATTGTGCAATGCCATAAGTTACAGTACAGATACTGTGTAGGAAGTAGCATTTTTCTCAAAATGCTGTTTGCTAAGGAAACACATACTAAAAGAAAAAAACAAACCCAAAATCAACCAAATGAGGAAACCCACTAAACCCAAAGAAACAAACAAAAAAAGGCTCACATTCACAATAATTAGAGGCAAAAGGAGGAGAAGACACATGCTTTACACTGAGTGGGCACATAGTTTGCTGGCCTCCTGGGAGCCCTAAAGACAATGTTTTGCCAGCTCAGTGCACTTGTTGTGGTGGTGAGTGCTCAAGTGCTTTTTCCCAGCTATTCCAACCTCACAGAAGAGCCAGGCAGAAGCCTCATGAAGCTCCCAAAATGAGAGCACTCCAGCCAGAGGAGGTCTGACTGACTTTAGCAGCTGAAACATGTCCTGAATTATGAGACTGTCCAGCTGGCTTTAAGCCACATTACCCTGGCTATGTCTGGTTCCTGCTACTGTATCCATCTGCTCAGAGCAGGAGCACATCATCCAAACATTGAGGAACATTCCCACAACACTTGGATAAATCTGAACTTGTAACTATTGCACTAAACACAGAGGAACAAAAATCCATACAGTTTAGCATGGTAAGCCCATTACCCAGCTCACTGCTAAAAGGATATTAACTGAGTTTATCTATCAAATCCAAGTATTCAGACTATCTGACCTCCTGAATAGACAGAAGATATAGCTGTCTGGCAAATGGACTTGAATAGTCTCAGTGGTACTATAGGGCAAGAAAGAAGTTCCAGGGATATGCTCCAGATCTACTTCAGGCAGTGAAAATATTCTCACAGGTCTCTAGAGTGATTTGGACTAAGATCTAAATGAACACAAAATATTTGTGAAGCCAAGGACAGTTTTACATAAGCAAAACCTCCTATCAATACCAGTCTTTCTGCAACCTTGTAAGGGAGGTTTCTTTTTATTTCAAGATTATCAGTGTTTATCTCCTCTGAAAGGGACAATTCCCGTGCTTTCAGAACTGTCCCACTACAGCCAAACAGTAACAGGGTGTTTGGAAACATCACCTTCTTTTAGAGTTCAGTGAAAAATTCTGTATCCTTTTACAAAACATGTTTAGAATGACATGTGCCTTAAAAATTACCCAGAAATGGTGATCTTTCTGTTTGTAAACACATTTTATCTACACCCTGCCTGCCTTAAAGGAGTCCTAACTTAAGAGCCCATATTAATTGCTGCTACCAAGAATATCATATGTGAGAATAAGGCTGGACATTTGGACCAGGTTTCTGAATTATTCCCTTTTTTTGTGTTAAGCCCAGCTGGCAATGAAGTACCAGCAAAATGACTGAAACCTGGCCCTTCAGTCCTTGACTGGGGGCCTCTAAATAAAAAGGAGCCAAAGGCAGATACAGAGGTAGCATGACTTCTCTTGCACCATCTTCAATGTTTTGTTGTCCTCAGGAGTCCTGAGGGATCCAGATGCACCCTCTTCTAAATACATTCCATTGACAAAGGGGCTGAGAGAACCATTTGCTGTCTGGATTGCCTCCTGTACACTGATCTCATCTGAGATGGGGAAGATTAAAGGGTTGTAACCAGCTCTGTGATGGCTTCATGCAGCCATCAGCTCTTAATAAAATAAATGTAACTGAACCATGAGGATTTTAATAAGCCAATCAGAGCAACAATCAAATGTGTCCAATCACATTTTTAGACTGCACATTTGACACAGAGACATGTTAGTATGGGGAAATGATACATTTCTGTTTAGTTTTAACTACATATTTTTCCTAGTCCCTGATAATATGTGAAGATCTGTTTGTTAAAAGCTCTTTAGTCCTTGATACCAACTAACCACAACAGCAGAAGAACTGCAGCAGTGGTGCTCATTTGCAAATAATTTTGCTCTGTGTTTCTGAGAACCACCCTTTCCCGTACTTTGTCATAGTATTTTGCAATATAGTTTATTGCTTCTATGGAAATCCATTCTTCAAACATTCACCTGTATTTTCCAAAATTATGCTTTTCACTCTTTAGTGTCAACTGGAGAGGAACATGTTGAGCCAGTCAGTTCCCAAGGGGCAGGAAGGCAAAAGTGAGGTGTGTGGGTTTGTTAAGGTTAAAGAAAAACAAACATATATGTTGATTCTATTTTTTGCAAAGAGACGCTTTTGTTCTGTCTAAATATCACCAGTGAGCATGCTGTTTTCTGGCTTTGGGCCAAAAGATTGCTCTAATGTCATCTAGGAAAGCTAGACCCAAGTCATCCCTCATAAGTCTCATGTCATATCATAAATCAACATCCTATCCCTCCCTCTTGTCACAGATGTGACAGTCTTACTGAGTTAGAAATCAGCTTTATAGTGTCATTATGCCCATGAAAATACAGTTTTATATTAGATTTACATGCAAATTTGCTATCACTCAAAATGCATTTGTTCTGTTATGGAAGGCAAGTCTTCTATAGGAGAGCTGCATGTTAGAGTCAGTAGAGGCTGACATAACTGGATTTGCAGATGTTGGTAGCTCTGCCACATTTTAACAACCTGTTTTCTGACATCCTTGAATTTCATTATCACAGTCATTAATCCCTTTGTTACTGCAGAACAAAGAAAGATAAATATGTTGCCATGACAACAATGAAACATCTTAATAATTAGCAGACCAATTAGCTGTCTTGGTGAAATGCTGTGACTCAGAACAGATACTAGGCACTGTGTAATTAGGACTTTGGCTTACTAGAGCAAAAGTGCTGCTGATTCCCACAGGGAACAGCAATACAAATGCATTCTTTCACTTAGTGATATCTCACAACAATTCAGGAGAGAATCTGAAGCACATGAAGTCTGAAAATTTAAAAGAAAGCTGGTACCTTAGAAATTATAGATTTGTGGTCTTATATTGCTTTTGATTGCATTAACCTAGATTGTCAAGAATGCAAGAGAAATTGAAGAAAAGAGAATTTGTCATGTATGTGTTTCTGCTCAAACTGATGTTGTACAATCAGCTTCACTGTTTCCCCTGCAAAGGCACTGCTTATGTACAACAGGGTTTGAACACGATACCCCCATGGCAGGGGGATTGGAACTGGATGATCTTTAAGGTCCTCTCAGACTCAAACTATTCTATGACTCTGTGACCATCTGGGCACCTCAGAAGTACAGCTGCAGGTGTGAGGAGAACTCAGGAAGGCCACTCTGCCCAGGTTTCCTTAGCACTGACAGAAGCAGCAGTAACAGGGATCTTCTTGGATCTCATTTTGAGTCAAAAGATACTAAAAAGATAGTTCCTAAACTGCTGCCTGTCCAAGAATTTATTGCACTACATTTTGGGTGGAGTTCAGCCCCTTCCCCATGTTTGGCATCCCCATGAGGTCTTGTGCTTCTTGGAGGGCAAAAGCACAACTGTGGAGTTGCGTAGCCGGGGCTGAGACAAAGGGAACCGGGGCGGGAGCGCGGCACACAGCAGCTGTGAAACTGCATGAGGACAATATTCTACTTTTCTGACCAGTCAAGGCCTTTTCATTTTTCACTCCATTCCAATGTGGTAATTAGACACTATGAATTCAAGGAGTTTTAACATTTAAGAGAGAAGAAAATCTTTCAACTTGTCTATCTTTAAAGAAGGAAAGGCAAAGTGTGTTACAAGAGGGGTGTAGTGTTCATCTAAATTTGACATCCAAACACCTGGGGTTTTTTGAGCTACTTCAAGTCTAGACTATGTAGCTCTCCCTGCCCTGTTCTTGTGTTGAGCTAGGACTGCTCCCTGCACCTAGCAGGACTGAAACAGCTGAAAGGGGAAACATTCTTGTTTATTATTTAATAGCTGCAGACTACCCCTTGTATCTCTGCTCAACTGAACTGTGGCAGTTTTGTGCTTCTTGCCTTCTGCAACCTCTTCACTTACAGCAAAAATACAAATAATATCTATGAAATGAGTCCTGGTTGCTTTCAAATGGACAATTTGCATTTCTGTTTTAAAGAAAGAAACACGCAGCTGTGACACCTCTTGTTTTCAGAACACAACACAACAGGGAAACCAAGCAATAAGGCAAGGCTACTTACGGCATTAATAAGCAATTGATTGCAAAAAGCAGAGGAAATTCTGACAATTGGATTGTTCTTTAATGGCAACTAAGTGTGCTCACAGGAGGAGGTGGTAAGCTTCTGTAGCACAGATTGTTGGGGTAGGGAAGTACCAAGGAAATGTGAAAATGCCTAAAAAATAGACTGGATAGTGTAGTCAAAATGGCATCTGCTGCTGATAAATGCTGTGAAGCAAGTCCAGTGTTTTTATACTACTTTAAGGTTGTATGGCACACCAGGGGTTTGATTTCAGTCTTAGTAGGAACAGCACAAATTTCCATTCAGATTCATGAGCGAAGATAAGCCCATAAACACATATGTTTGTGCAACATTGTATTCAGAATTGCAAGGAATTTAACATGCTGTTTCTTGCTGGTGGCGCAGGAATCAGCTTTCTAATACACTGCACAGCAGACCATGAGAACAAAAGAAAAAGAAAAAGCAGCAATGGCAGAAAATTGTTGGCAAAACTCTGAACATTGCAAGCAGAACAAAATATTCCCAATGCTTCTGGAGAAGGCAGCCTGCACTTCAGTGTAGCAGATACCAGGCAGGTGTACATAAAATGTTGTAGGATGGCAAAGCACCATGCTAAAAACCTCCAGACACAGCTCTGCATTTCCCTTTCAGGTGCCTTTTACAGTCATCAGTGTGAAGGCTGCTAAATATTTAATTGAAAAATCACCATGGAATGCCTCCAAAAAACCAGAGAGTACTGATGAAAATTCTGCAAGTGCTTTTTTTTTTTTTTCAGTTTGACCGTACTTTACTCAGGCCCTAGCAAAGTGGGATCATGGGATGTTGGAGCTGTCAGCTCGTTCTGTGAAAGTACATGAATTCAGTTTCAGCTGCATAGTCTGAAAGCAAAGTTATAAATATATTTATTTCTGGGAGTGAGTGTTTCCTAGGCCAAGAAATTAATTCTGAATGATCATTTCCTCTCAAGGATGCTTGAACACTTGCAAGACACTGAAAGGGGTGTGGAGAGGATTATTTTTTAATTCTTTTAGTCTTTTCACTAATTTGTTCTTATATTTTCTGTTGAGAGATGGTCTTTTCCCAGAGATAACCATGGCTTGTTTTGTGTGTCTGTGTGTCTGTGTGCGTGTGCAGGCACAATTCTTTCAGGAGGCACTTGCCAAGGCAGATGCAAGTGTCCAGTGTTGATTTTAACATGGGGACAGACCCAGTTCTGCAAAAGGGAGAGACCACAACCAGCATTGGGAGAATAAAACCAGAACTCTACAAACAGAAGTCCGTGGATTCTGATGGGCAGCAAGAAGATGTGAAAACATGTGGAAAACTTAACTTCACTCTCCGGTACGATTATGAGAATGAACTTCTGGCTGTCACAATTGTCAAAGCCTTAGATCTGCCTGCTAAAGACTTCACAGGAACATCCGACCCCTACGTTAAGATTTATCTGCTTCCTGATAGGAAAAAGAAGTTTCAGACACGAGTTCACAGAAAGACATTAAATCCTGTCTTTGATGAAACCTTTCAGTTTCCTGTAGCCTATGATCAACTCAGCAACAGGAAATTGCATTTCAGTGTTTATGATTTTGACAGATTTTCTAGACATGACATGATTGGGGAAGTTATTCTTGATAACCTTTTTGAAGTCTCAGATCTCTCCAGGGAAGCCAATGTATGGAAAGACATCCACTGTGCCACCACAGTAAGTAATGTGTTACAAAAGTATTAACATCATATTTTTATTTCTTTTTTGTAGTTTTTGGCAATGTAGCCTGTTTATCAGCAGAGTTCAAAATAATAAAAAAAAAAAAAAATTAAAAGAGTAGCTGTCAATATTTTCCTTTGAGCACAGAGAATAATGCATGGGAAGATATAAAATTCAATTACCAAAAAATCTTCTGGGAGCATACTGTCATTTTTATGGCTCACTGTGTGTATATAAATTACATTTATTAATTAAATGCTGCATTATGAAAGTCATTGCTTAGCCAGAATTAATAACATTTTCCTGTTAGCAAAACACCTTGTTCTGCAAAATGACCATCTATTAAGGAAAAGGGCCCATCCTATCCTGCTCTTGTTAGGAAATTTTCATAGGTTAGAAATCTTGGTAAGGAAAAGAGACTGAAAATGCTTGATGTGTAAAATGTTCTTTGCTGACTGCACTGTGCTTAGGGTCCCCAGTAGCTGTATCTGCATTGCTGCTGGATGCTAGGAAAACTCAAGTGACACAAGCAAGAAGAATTAGGAAATAGAAATTAATTTTTTTGTTGTTGCTAGCAAGAAAAGAAGGTCTGTGCACAAGTGACAGGATGAATGACAGGCTACCAGAGAACAGCAGTCTACAGATACTGCTTTATTAACCTTGAATTCTAAACTCATCCTCCCTGGCTGGGAGTTGAAGGGGGGTGGAAAATAACAAACAGTTAAAATAGTCATGTTTAGGGTGTTGTTTAGGTTTTGGTTTCAGTTTCTTTTCAACTAGCATGCTATTTATGTAGAAGTTTTGCCATCCCTGGTTCTGTGGGTGTATCCAAACAGTGTGACTCATCCCAGGGTTTCAGCACCGGCCGGATTTCCACACGGAGGTGAACAGAGGACAGACCAGTGCTACATCAGTGACAGAAGCTTCACACCATCCCTTCTCTGCAGCCAGAGACTTCCCAAGCCTTTTTCACCAAAGGCTTTCATGATGTTCATACCTGCTAGACAGGTCCAGGTGTGCCTGAGTAGAAGGACAAGGAGTGCTGATATGGCCTCACCAGTTTGAGCATGAGCACTGTGATCCCTGAGAAAGGAGAAATACCAGAGTGCCAAATAGTGGAGGCAGTTTTTGAATGGGAATTCACAACAGGAGCTATTTATTTCAACTGCTGGGCCTAGCAAACTGCTCTCAGCAGCCTTCAGCACTCCTCCAGAAAGCTGAATCTGTGTATGCTTAGTTTGATCAAGCTCAGATTTAAGGCAAGTTTAAGAATTGTGTTCTCAAGCTTAAAACTGAATGTGTGTTTAAGGTCTTGGAATAATAGTCCAAGTAACCATTTTTAGAATTTTCTTCTAACTTTGATATTGTGTTTGATACTTTAGTCATTACTTAAAAGCTGAGTCACTAGCAGCAGGTGTGTCTATGAGATTTTTAACTGAAAACTAGAATGGTTTCAGCAAATAATAATCTCTGGACTGTTCACCACTGGTTTTGAGCAAATTGAAATGCCATACCAGATTATGCATTTGGGTTTGACACTAATACACATATGGAAATATGAAAATAGTTGCTAAACTTGGCACTGGATCCTAATTTAAGTTTCTTCCTCAGTAAGTGTTAAGGCATGCAGTTCTAGTGACTAACTCACTCTGCTGGCGTTTTCATCTTGTCCATCTTAAAAGAAAGCATGAGGTTTTTGGATTTCAGCCTTTCAGGCAGGATAGTTTAAAGTGCTGCATGTGTATGAAAAGGTTGTGTCCACTTAAACCATCAACAATGGGCACATAAAATTGGGCACTAAAATCTTTTAGTCTTGGCTAGCTTCATCAGCTTTCACAAGCCTTACCCTATCCTCAGAAAATTATGTAAGAAAGTGGTAATTGATTCTTTTTCCTGAAAAAATTAGGCCTTCCCAGAAGATGTCCAGTGACTGTATGTGCATTGTGCTGCCTTGTGATTTACTTGAACTCTTTTATGAAATTGTAATACAGGCTTCTAGTTTCGTCATTTCAGAAACTGTAAGTTGAGTGAGCCAAACTTCCAAAGGAATAAATACTGTGTGAGATGTTAATCAGTGAAGACTTACTGTCTTAAACACCAGATATAAAGTTTACCAAAGTCACTCACTAGCAGCTAAATTACTAATGTTGGCCAGAGTCAATTGAACTTTGATAAACCTTGAAAAATAAAGATCCAGCTGGTTCTGCAATTGGTGGAAAGTCATTCCAATCCAAGCAAATATGCTTTGGTGTTAAAGAATCCTTGTAAATTAAGCAGGTTGTGTGAGATGAAAAGGCCATACCCACCCACTAGAGCCCAGGAACCAAGATGCCATTCTGCAAATATATTTCTCTCATGCTTTTTACTTCTTCACCTTTGCTCTGTTTTTTTTGTATGTTCTGAGAAGTTTTTTGTCTCTGTTCAGACATGATTCCTACATCCTATGGTCTGCTTGTGCTGCTGCTAAATGATAGATGTGGAAAATAATAGAAGTGATAGATCAAAGAATTAGTCAAAACTTAAAAAAAAAAAAAACAGTGGGAGCAGCTTCTCCTCATCTGTGAATCTTTTACATCTCTTCCATAGTCAAGAATTTTCTACTCGGAAGTTAAAATGAGGGCAAAAATAATTCTTATTACCAGTGTGAAAAAAAATCTATTCTTTTGACACCAAACTCTGCAGTCTTAAACACTACTTGAGAGGTTTACCAAGAAAATTAATTGCAACATTTTGCCTGTGAAGAAAAATGCCACAGGAGATCAGAAGATCAGGAGATCCTTTTTATGCAACAACTCTTTGTCAGTAGCTAACATAATTTTAAAAATATTTGCTTGCACAACCATAAAGGGTTTTTATTTGGTGCAGGAAATACAGTCTGGGAAAATCAGACTGGATGGTTGCACTGAATCCTTTTGGCTCCAAACCCAATGAGTCTGTGTGAATCTACACTTTTAATACACTTTCTTTGTTCCTAATAATAATTTGAAATTATTCTATGGAAGTGCAGGATTGGCCCACACACACATACTCATTTTTATTCTCATTGTTTTCAGATGCTGATATTTGTTCACATTTTGTAGTTTGGGTTTTACCTTTATTTCTTCATTCATACCACTGTTTCTCTGTTGTATTTCTGTGGTGTACATTGAAAACATAGCACGTTTTATAATATATAACATGTACCTGTTAGATTAATAAACTAACATGTAAAGTTAGATTATTAATTTAAATTTAGGAAAAGTATTAATTTAAATGTAGGAAAAGTATCTTAGATATCTGATATACCCCCAAATTTTGCTTGAATAGGTGATTGAATTTTCAATTAATAACCCATCATTTGCTTCTATTCACCTGATTAATTAAAAAAAAAAAGGAAAAAATATCAGGAATCAGTTTTGGACTACCTGTGAAGGTTGTTCATTATATTGGAATACTTTAATTCTCACTACACTTGAGAAAATTAATTCATAGCATTAGATGCAAATAAATAATATCAAATAGATTGTTTAATCAACACATGAGGTTTCTGGTTTTGTCAGGTGCTTGAAGATTTTGCATACATTTATGAGGTTTTGTTACTATCAGAATATACTGCATACTTTAAAAAAAGAAAACTCTCCTTTTGGAATTGCTAACAAGCACTTCTAATATTCAGTGTCTTAAAATTTTCTAGGCAAGAAGTCCACTGCTTGTGGTCCATCAATTTCTGCATGTAAACATTTTTTAGGTTACTATAATACTTTTAAAAATTATCACCTGCTTTGGAAAATTCCTCTAAGGCTATTGCCTAAAAATATTGGCAAGTGACTCTCAGAGAGATTTTTTTTCTGAAGGTATCCTGTGAAGTCTGTTGGAGTAACCAATGATAGGAAACCATGCAACTGGGAAAAAAATTAAAGCTCAGGATTTAGAGGAAAGCCATTGCCATATCCAACAGAGTTAGCCTCTTGGGGATCTTAATCATCAAATTGTCATGTACTTGTTCCCTCTTGAATTATCTCATGTAGACAGATGGAACTTGATTATTATTTCCCGACACCAGGCATTTCAGTGCTGCAGTTTGCTCATTTGTGAAGTGGAATGTAAAAGCAGATTTTGTAAGGACATAGTCTTCATGTGATGTCCGTGGTGCGTGATTGCTGTTTCTAAAGCAATTGAAATATAACTAATAGCATCACTGGGAAAGACAGAAGTGCTGAAACATATATATTTTAAAATAGGTAGGACAGTAACATTTGTCTCAGTTCATTTATATCAAACACTTGCCAGAGTAGGAAATAACACAGGTAATTCTGCTGCCTGCTGGCCTCTGCTATGGAAATAGATTCTTCTGATTTCTTCATCAAACAATAATGAAGCCTATCTCTGAATTTCACCCAGAGCATAATCCTTGCTTTGTTTTCTCCATCTCCATCTCCATCTTTTGTAAGTGGACAAAGCTTTAGACCTTTCTCTGAGTGAGGCAGTTGTGGTAGAGAGCTGACAGAGGTGTCTTTTGTAGCCCAGCCTTGAGGCCACATTTTCAGGATTGTCCTGTTTCTTAGTGTTCAAAGAGCAGCACTATGAGGAAATGTTTTACCACCAGCAATGTCGTGGGCCAAGCCCTACAGCTACCCACCTTCATCAGAATGCACTTAGACCTGTGAATGTCTCTGGAAATGCACCTGAAAGGTTCAGGAGAACCTTAGACAGGTGTAAAAGACTCAGGGCTTTTCAGTGTAGGAGCACTGATCATCTCTGTAACAGGAAGAGCCCTTCTAAGCCAGGAACTGCTGGCACTTGTCATTTCTGCTCCGGGCCAGTAATAAAAGGGATCCATGTGACCAATGCTGCTGCTGAGCAAGTGAGAGAATACTCTGGATCATTTTTAAACCTTTTGGAGACCTTAATTTATGTTTGGAACTGCTTTAGGTCTGGTTGATAACTAGAAAATACAATGGAGAAAGAGTGGGTTTCTGTCCAGTTATTGAAGGCAAGGAAGGTTTCTATTATTATTA